TACATTAGGTATGTGCAAAACCCAAATTCTTTTAGCTTTCACTGAGGGTGAGGATGTTAATCGTGTGGCTACAGATGAGCATGCTGGTGGGACGGGCAAGGGAAATGTTCACAGGCAGGATAGAAGCAAATCCCAGGGATCCCTCATGCACTGCAGGCAGAGAAACGGGCTCACCCACATGCCAGAGCTCCTGCAGAACTGGCCCCAGTATCTCCAGCACATCCCTGCAGCCAGGGACCGGAGCAGAGCACACGACCTGTGCGCACCGAGAGAACCGATGTGGGCAAGAGCAGGCATGAACACTGCAGCTTAATGGTGTGTGGAAAGCTCCAGCACAAACTGCGAAGGAAAGGACGGCTAAAGAAAGGGGGGTAAACAGCATGAGATTAAATGCGTTTGCCAAACCTGTTTATCTTTCTTGGGTGAGGAAAAGCATTTACTTAGTGAGAAAATTGGGGTGGATCTCAGCCCTCTGGATTTAGATTCCATATGATGCAACATGGAAAGTTCTTAGGAACAGAGAGAAGAGATTTAGGACAAGGTATAAATGAGTGAAACTTGCTGTGAGAGGGGTGGGAGGCTGCCAACCTAGTAGGAGGCTACTGGGGGCTGTTAAGCACTACTCCTGGGAAAGTGCTTTCGGGAATGAGCCTGGTACAAACATTGGTGGAGAACTGGTGAAAATTGCTGATGACAGAAAATATGAAGTGACCTCAGGTCAAAGGAAGCTTGAAATGTTATACATAGGAAAAAAAAAAAAAAAAGCCAGCTGCAAGGAGAACAATCAACAGAAAGAGAAGGTCATAGGTCTGAACCTTCTCCTACATGCAAACTGGCAGCTCATACTTCGATCACAAAATAACTAGGCTGCCAAAATCATGGAAGCATGAGAAAAGCAATGAAATCATAGAACACAATGGGAAAAGTGCAGCCCAGGCTGCAGTGAAAGCTGGGTGTACCCAAGGAGAGGCTGTCCCGCTTGATTTTGCAACCAGGTGGATTTCTCTCTGTAAAAGCATCGTGGAAGTGTCTCCCAGGGAGGGCGAGGAAAGACTTAGTGGTGCTAAAGGCCAGTGCTGGTAAAGAGTAAATGAGCAAAAAGATGCATTAGAGATTTTGATTGCTGCTAACCATCTGGTAATCTGGGAGGAACAGCCTCCCATTTGCAGTCATGCATGCAAAGTATTGAATGGCTTTGAGGACAGAACTTGTTAGGTTTATTAAAGGAATTATATCACATGTTACCGTGATAGGAGACTTGGTGGCCCAGAAGTTCCTGCCAGTCCTATGCATATAGGTAAATATTTTGTAAGCTTCTGTCAATATGTGTGGAGCATGTGATTATACACACACAAAAAGCAGGCACGTGATTTATTAATCACAGTACCTCAGTTTGTCAAATAATAATTACAAGACAATAACACAGCTTGTTTGGTACAAGTGGCTCCTGAAGATTTTCTCCCACAGTAAACCAGTAAGAAAAAGACAATTATTCTGAAGTATTTCACTATTACATGTTTCTGGTTGTTAGACTGTAAATGCTCACTATCTGGAACACTTAACAGCCTTGCACATTTCACAACTTCAGCCCTTCCAGTAAAATGTCTTTTCAGAGGCACGATTGTCTTTGTTAAGACAAGAATAAACAGATGACAAATGTAACACAGAGAAGACATGCCTGAAACGGTTTTAAAGAGCAAACTCAATTCCAAATTGCCTGACAGGAAGGTGCACAAAGAAATGCAAAGGGGAAAAGGTTTTTGCACACTATCAGGGGCAAGTCCTGGAAAGCCACGGCAGAGATAGTCTGTGTTTCATGAAACCGTTTGTCCAAAACCATCTCAGCAAGTGACACTTGAGCTTCCACACCCAGACAGATATGACCTGCATTCCCCCTGTTGGCCCTTCCTGGGCAGGGGCTGCAGATGCAGCATGGAGCTGCAGCACTGTTGCCAGCTCTTGTATAGAGCTGTAGGAGGATGTTCAGAAGCAACTCTAATTAATGAGCATTAAAAAAGCGAAGGCGTGTTTCAGTATCCTTTCAACCTGGAGCTGATGCTGACTGGTGAGAATGAGATTGCTGTGCTTGCAGTTCATTTGAAGAAGGCACCTTGAAGCCAGTGCAGAAGATGCAAATGAAAGTGCAAGGAGGGAAAAGAAATCAGAAAGCCAAGAGACAGGCAGGCGAACAGAGCAGGCGGATTTAGCAGACTCAATATGCTATTGCTGTCTGCATTATGTGTGGAAAGCTGTATTCTAACTGTCACTGCAGCAGAGTAGATTGTGATGAAACAGAACTGCTGAGGTGTCAACATCACAGGTGCTGGCTTTTGAAAACAACCAAAACAGAAAGCAAAACTCTGAAGAAACCCACATTGAGGAGTACAAAGAAAATGCTGGGTGATGTTTTTAAGTAAACACAGCCTCTCTGCTTTTCACTGCTCTCTGGGTGCTGGAGGGCAGATAAACAGTGTGAATCTTGCTGAAGTGAGCTGAAAAGCAAAGGCTGGCAGCAGGAGGGTGCAGGGTGTGTGTGCCCCCGACCCTGGGCTGGCGGAAGGCTTCTCCACGTGTTTTGGGGAACTGCAGCCAACGGATCCCTCCCCTGGGTGTTCTGGGAGGGCTTGGCCAACATGTGAGAAAGGGAGGGGAGAGTCTGAAAACAACCCAGCCAGCGCTAAGGGAGGAAGAGAGCTGGGAAGTGACCTGCTCGCCTCTCTACCAGCAGTTTGCTCCAGGTGGGAGAGCAGGAGGGGAAAGGAATCCCTGCAGATCCTGTGTGGCAAAGCACGGAGTGGCACAGTGGAGCTCGCAGTTCAGGTAAAAGTGGGATGTTAGCAGCTTTTCCTAACAGCAGCTTGTGTGGGAGCTGAGCACTGGCCAGGAACTGGGTTTGGTTTGCTTTTTTTTTTTTTTTTTTTCCCTGAGTTTGAGTGGTAGATGGGAAGGGGGAGAGTGGGATTCTGCCCTCTTGTTTTTATGGGGATTGAGTGCTGTTCATACAGCCGGGGAGGGAAGCAGGGAAGGAGCAAGCTGCTTCCTGCAGCCTGGAGATTAGTATGTAATGGACTATGTCTTTTTAACATTAAGGTTTTAAGGCAAAAAAGGCAAAATGGAGATATCTTCAAGTAGTTTGCTTGATACAACAGGAAGATACAAGTAATCTTGCATGCACATCATTCCTTTTTCAGGTCATAGTGTTCTAGAAATCAGAAATTTTGTACTGCAAATCTAGACAAGATTTTCAGTGGTTGATAACCAGGCTGCTACTAGAGACGTGCAGCAGAAGAAAGGAAAAACACACTGTTTCCTTGTCTGGAAAAGCGCTGGTTGGTTCAGGAGTTTTCCTCTTCTTCTGATTTAATCAGATAGCTTTTGGGCCTTGGAAGTGATCCAGCCCTAAATATTACAAGAAAATCCTCCAGCAATTTTACAGAATGCTTTAAAACAGGTAGTAGCAACAGGCAGGATGCACTGAGGTGTTATTTTGTGGCATCTTCTCTGGTGCGGGTTCCTGTTACTGTATCACCTCTCATTCTGTCATCACTCCTGGCTGCAGAATCTCTTTCAGTTCCTCTGTCTTGCTGTGGGGAAGCTGAATTCCACGATCTTTGTTAATGGATAGATTCTATTTTCCACATCTCAGTGATGATGCTGTAGCATCACGTGCTAGGCAGTGAATATGCAAAGAGAAAAGTAGGAAATATTTTTTGATTGATGAGAGAAACATCTTTTGAAAATCCGCCTTATATGAAGAAAGGCTTGTGTGATCATGCCAAGCTGTCCTGCCTGGAACATGGCCGGAACCTGGAGTTATCACAAACAAGAAAGATTTTCTTTCCATTGTGTCTGGTGGGGGAAGTGTTTATCACTAAAAATACAGCAATCATGCCACACAGTCCTTTAAAAGATCACTGTTGTTTTGGTTCTTAAACTTCCTTCTGATGATTCATGCCGAGTAGGGCCAATAAGTGAACACAGCAGCACTTACACAAGGGAAATTTGGCTGCAGTTCAGACTGATTTGGGGTAGAAATACATTGGAATGATACGTAAAAAACAAAACAAAACAAAACCTAAAACCAACAAAAGTCAAGTCGTAATGTTGTAATGCCCTCGCTGGCAGCTGAAGAACCCTGTGGTGTTGTGCACTGAAGCAGAATGGCTGCTCAGGGCTCTCAGGCGGGTCGGACTACAAAGGGAGAACAAGGGCTGAAGAAGCTGTTGGGAGGGGCTGAGCAGAAACAGAGCACTTGACAATAAAACAGGCTGTCACCTGTAATCAGGTGCCTGGTCTTAGGCACTGTGGATAGAAAAAAGGGTAGTGCAAACTAATCTGAGGTAGAAAACCTGTGAGCCGGTGGATGGTATGCAGGCTTTGGTTATCAGCGTGCGTTAGCAGCTTTTCCTAACAGACCTCGCAAAAAAACGTCGGCTCCGGGACAGCCGTGCTGCTCCTGGGCAGCCCCTGTGATGCCCGCACAGAGGAGGGGCAGAGAGGTGCTGTGTGAACGGAAAGGGCCTGAACCTTCCCCCTCCTCCCGTTAGCAAGGCGAGGACGAGGTGATGCACCGATTTTCTCGTGGCTTTGTTTAAAACATAGCAAATATTGATTTTTTACAGTAGGAGCACACGCTGCTGAGCAGCCAGGCCCTGTGCAAGCAGGCTGGGCAGGCAACGAGCGCAGCTGCACAGGGAACCCCGCTGAGCACCGCCCGCTCTCCACACGAGAGGCCCTTCCCGCCCCCACACGGACGCGGCCGACATGCTTCCCCCCCCCGCCCACCGTGCCTTTCTTTTCCTGCCACCCTTTTCCTTTCCCCACCCACCCGCCTCTCTTTCTTCCCGCCGATTGGCTGCGGCAGCGGGCGGGAGTCAGCCAATCGGCGGCGCCGCTCTCCGCCGTGTCGCTGGGGGGAAGAAAACAAAAACAAGCAGAGACGGGGCGCGCGGCTTGGGGGCGGGGCCGAGCCGAGCCGAGCCGAGCCGAGCCGAGCCGAGCCGAGCCGAGCCGAGCCGAGCCGAGCCGAGCCGAGCCGAGCCGCCGGTAACGGTCCTGCCTCGGTGTGAGGAGGCTCGGCAGGCTGCCCGCCAGGTATCCGGGCCGCGGTGAGGGGCGGCTCTCCGCACCCATCGCTGAGGTAACCCCTCGCTCTGGGGGCGGTGGGAGGCCATGAGGCGGCGCTGGGCCTGCGGCGCGGCGTTGGGCGGGCCGGCAGCGGTGGTTCGGGCGGCCGCAGGCTGTGAGCGCTGAGAGGGCGGTTTGCGCGGGAGGGAGGTGCTGAGCGGCTCCGTGCGGCGTAACGCGGCGGATTTTATTCGTACGGTGATAAAAGCGAGGTGCTGGAATTGGAGCGGGGCAGAACCCGGGCTGGGAGGAGGCGTTGCGGAGCTGAGGGCGGTCGCATGGCAACGGGGATGGTGGAGCTCGGTTATTCCACGTCCTAGTTACAGACAAAGCGGGGTGCTGCGTCCTGACGGCGTATGGGGGCTGTGCTGACTGTTATGCTGCCATATGGGGAGGATTTCAGTTAGGGCTCCGTGAGGAAAAAGTATGCCTCTGCCTCGAAGGGAGAGCCTTGTTACTAACGGTGAATGCCTTCCTCTTGATTGTTGTTTAATGCCGGCTTTGTGTCTTGTCTGCTTTTTATAAGAGGTGGACCAACAGATGGAACATTCCACTAGGAAGAACGAAACTGTTCTTACAAGGTAATTTGCTCCGGTTAGATTGAAGTCTGCTCAGGGAGGCTTGTGGTCAGCGGTGACTGGGAGCGCTGGGAACACCTGAGTGATCAGCTGAGGTAAGTTGGGAGCATATTTACTTTAAAAAAAAAAACAAAACACCTATGGGCTGGGGAGGACTTCATAGTCCATTAAATTGTTAACTGTTGAGGCAGATGTTGAGAAATAACCAGATCATGAGAGCTCAGCGCTGTGCCCTAAAACGGTTACTTTATTTTCAACGGTCTGGGCTGAATCATGAGCAGTTAATAGTTCTGTGGTAGGAAAGTGGGTATGAGAGGGAAAAAAAAGGAAAGAAAAGCGGAAGGGAGGGATGTCGTTTGGTGTCACAATGTGACGGCTCAACTGTAAGCAGTTTTCAGGGCAGCAAAAGGTGAGAAAGGGTCTGAATTCTTGTGAGATGGACACATGCCAATGGTACTTGCAGTGCTACAGGGTGATAAGTGAAAATCTTGCGGGTGAAAAGGTGTGTGGGGATTCATGAGGTTGCACTAATTTTGTGTAAGTAAAGATGGATGGGATCCTTTTCACAGTTACCTGTGGTCATTTGTAGAATAGCAGCTGCTAGGAAGAGCGAGTAACAGAAAAAAGAGAAGTGTTGGGCTGTATCCCTTGCTGATTGGCACAGAAGCGTGTGAAAATTTGGCAGCTGTACATCGACATAGTGTAAAATATAAAAACTATGTTCCTGAAGGGAGCAATTAAAAATGTCTTGTTTTCTAAAGGTTTGTCTGAACTTGATAAAGTGGTATCATTTTATCACTATAGTTCAACTTGGAGACTGTTTGTCTTATGGATGCAATTACAACATTAATGCTGTATGCTTATATAGATAACTGCTCTGCAGAAGTGAACAGTCTCAAGTTGATAGAGGTCACTTATCAACTTAAGAAGGCTGCATATGGAGGGCTTTTATCCTAAACGTAATGGCTTTTATCCTGGTTCCACCTTTATAAGCAGCAGAACTAACAAGTGCTAAGACATCAAGGCTTAAATAGACATGTTTAAGGGTGGTGCTTTCTCATGTTACATCTTCTACCTTCCCAGGAATTTTTCAGTGGATACTGGTAGTTAATTATAACTTAAAAAACATTTATTTTTGTGGGTGAAGCCTTTGCAGCTCTTTATTCCTTCAGGAGTTACTCTAGCGCTTTTCTTCCCCCTAAGCTTCTCCATTTTTGTTTAGGCCTTGAAGGGAGAACATTAAGACTACATTTCATTGTCAGTTCTGTTCAGCAGCTATGGAAATAGAAAAGCAGCATGTTTATGTTAGCACAGTAGGTAAGTAATGTATTCAGTATTCTTTTTGCCTAAAGTTGCTTATCTGACCTGAGCTGTTCTCTGTTGTAAGTTGCATTTCTGGTTATTTTAAAAATAATACTTATTTATATATATATATATAATATATATATATATATATATATATATATATATATATATCTTCATTACATATTTACAGAATTGTTGTTTCATCTGTGTATTACAGTATCCTGCTTGATATTCAATTTGAACCTCCTTTAAAAGCAGTCAGACACTTAACATATCTCTAATAAGTTACTGGATAAGTTAAATATTAAGATACTTATCTCTAATAAGTCCTTGTATGCTATTTCAGTCATGCAAATTTGAAGACAGAGGTAAATTCAAATGTGCAGTATGAAGGTACATTTAGAGGTGCAGGCTCAGCCTTACCTTTCTGTCTAGCTTAAGATTAGAAGAAAGGCTTGGCTAAAGTGAGCACAATGGGAAAACATTACTGAACGCATGTTATGCTGTCTTGAAATTGATGAGTTTGTCCACGTAAAAAGTGCTACATTATGCTTAGTCCGATTAATGCAATGTCAAGTTGTGAGGGTCTGCACTGACCTTTCTATCCCAGTGAGTTGTTGTAAGTTTTAAAAGATTTTTAGAAAAAAAATACATATAGGTTAAGATGATATGTGACACAGCTGAAGTTGCATCATTTTTCCTATGAACTCCTACTTTAAACCAGAATCAGTTCACTGTAGTAGGTTGCTTTTCAGCATTTTAGAATTACATTTGGGTGGTAGAGGAGAAGCTGTGAGATATCTGAACAGATCTCATTTGGTCGGATGAAACTTGTGGGTAGGGAAGTACTTGCTGAGTGTTCTTTTTGGTACTTCTTGCTGCAGAGTACCACAGATTTTAACTGGCTTAATAGCAGATTAACAAGAACAATTTGGATAACTTTTTAACACATGGCAAGTAAAGCCTTAGAGTGTACAGGACATGCTGTTGCTTGTATGTGTGTGTATAGATATGATGCCACAGTGAGAAGCTGAAAAAAAGCATGTCATTTGATGGATACATTTTATAAAAAATGATTTTTTAAAAATAAAAGTATTTCAAATTAGTAAAAGTTGAATCTGTTTTCTCCAGAGTAACGAGGTAACTAATAGTGGAGGGGCAGCAGGTCGCAGTGTTGTACAGAAAGAAGCTGCAGCTCCAAGTTGTATGCTGCTATATTAAATAATAAATACAATACAGTGTGCAATTTTAAGTCACATAGGCTGCAAAGGATTGCATTTAGTCTCAAACCTGAGATCAGGAAGGTTTGTGGAGACTGTCCTGTAGCCTCACTTTTTTCCGTAGCAAGGAGTGACTTGTTTTCATTAATTGGTGACCATTTCCTTTGAAAACTGAGGGAGAATGAAGTGATCAGTGAAGCGTGGGGTCTAAACTGGAGAAACAAATGGGAGGCTGTGCTGGGAGTTCGGTTAGCTGAGATGAGCTGGTTCTGCAGAGGGCTCCCTGGGGAATTCACAGAAGAAAACCTGTTCTCTTCAGCTTTGCTTTTTTGCCCTGTGCTAGCTTTATGCAAATCTTTCCTTGTAGTATTAAAATATTAGACAAACTGAGAATGCTTGTTGTGGGAATGTTTTTCAGTAAAGGGACGTGGTTTTTCTCTTCTTAGCTTGCTGCAAGCTTAAAGGGAATACTTTTGTGGGAGTACAAGCTTAATACAAGAGTGCCTACGTTACTGTTCAGCTGTAGCATTCACAGCTGTGTGCTCCTGAACGGTGGTTCTGTGATCATGAAGCAGGCAGTTGCATCACGCTGTCATCATTTTGTAGTGCAGTGTCCTCTTTGATATGGATATGCACTTTGAGGTTAGAAATATTTTATTAGAGTGCTTTGCTTTCAGAACCCATTTTCATGAGCCTGTTTTGAAACGAGAAAATACAGTTCTGGAGCTATTGTCAAGTGGACGTTTTTAATGGAGTGAATTGGAATGGTAAAGTAATACATTCAGCTACGTTCAAATCACAGTTTAAAATATTCTCCATGTTGTGGGTTTATGGCTATGAACGTTTCTGTGAAGCAGGTTTGGCACAGCTGGAAAAGCAGCTTCTGTGTGCCTCATCTGTGTGCATCCTTGGGCTGTGGCTGGAAGTTGTATGTGTGAGTCTTCTGACTGCAAGAAAAGGAGGCTGCGTAACAGAGCTCAGGTTGTTGCCTTTGCGTGTGTCTTTAATTCACACAGAGTCCCAGAGTGCTACCTGGAATATTAAGCAGGTCCTCAATTGCTTTTCTTTATTATTATGTATTATTCATCTTCATGAGTTGAGGAAGATGAAGAAATTACAAAGACTTTGGCACTTAAAACATTCTACTGATCCATAGAGTTTGTGTGGGAAGCTTCTTTGTGAAATAAGACTTAATCCACACATAAGATTTGGATCTGACTTCACAAACGAGTGACATTATTGCACTTCTCAGTGCTCTGAAACATTTGTGGGTGTTGTAAGAGGGATTTTTTCCTTCTACAGAGGGTGTTTTAAAAGGAGACCAAGCTAGTTAGTTAACTGTTACATATGACTGCAGCGAGGAATAAACCGTGGTGACTTTTAGAAACAGTCTTGCCTTAGCAGACAATAAGGAACAATCCCTAGGGAAGTGAGATCATGTTGGTTCAGAACATTTATTCTGAGTCTTTGTTTTCAAACTCTCCAAGTTTTGTATTAAACAGCTTTTTTTTCTTCCTTCAAAAACAGAAATTAAAGCAATCTCGTACGCAGGCTTTTGTGTGTCTGTCATTGATTTTCCAGACAGTGAGCCTTGTTTGAAGTTCCTCGAATGAGAGGAATGCTGGTTGATGATGTAGGAAATTAATTACAAAGTCACTGTGGTGACTATTCAGTTAATGGCATTGAGTTCTTACAACATTCACTGCACGGACAGTTGTTTTTTTCCACAACAAGCATTAAGTGGGTGGAGTGATAACCAGTCACATAGGTCTTATGCACTGTGGAATTCTGATAAATTGTTTAACAAGGGTGGAGTTTTCTGTGGTTTACCTATTTATAAATGGTTCATTCGTTTGCTTTCCAACTATTAACATAAGCTCTGTTTAGATTGTGGGTAGTATGTGTAAGGGGATAAGGAACTCCTTATTACTGTGATGTGTAGACACATCTAAATAAAACATCACCATTTATCTGTTGGAAGTAAGAGTAGTATATAATGTGGTAAGCCATTTTAAATGCAGCGTCCTCTGGTATTTTAACATAAACCAGTTCAAAGCAATAACAGATTTTTCACTGTGTTTTCTCTTAAAGAAGTGGAGAATCTGAGTGATGCTCTGTTCTCCGGCGATGAAGAAAACGGTGGCTCTGAGGAACGAAAGACTGAAATCAACGGCAATTGGATTCCTGCAACTTCTATTACCGAAGCCAAAATAAATGCTAAAGCAAAGAGGCGGTTGAGGAAGAATTCTTCAAGAGATTCTGGGAGAGGAGACTCTGTTAGTGAGAATGGAGAGACGCAGAAGTCTGGGCTGGTTGTACCAACAAGCCCTAAGGGGAAAGTCCTGGACAGGCGCTCCCGGTCTGGGAAAGGAAGAGGTCTTCCAAAGAAAGGTCGGTGTGGTTTGGTGATGAGAGTAGCTGGTAAAGATTCTGTCCAGAATGCAGTGCTGGTGTTTTTATTGAGAACTGCATTTGCAATGCACAGTCTTTGTGCAGGCACTTGGTTCTTTGTTAGTGGCAATAGGAGTTAATTGCAGGTGGAATCTTACCAGGAAAAAATTGTGTGTATTCTTAAATAACTTTAAGTATCTTTTATTAGTAAATTGAATACACAGGCTTGAACTGTTGTGGTCAAGTGGTTCGCAGAAGTGTTACCAGTGTAAACTGAGGGCTTGACTATATTTAGAAGTACAGTTGTTTCAACCTTCGGTAATTCTTGTGTGCTTCTGTGCATGCTGCTTTGAATATCTTAGTGGAAAGTAACGAAAAGACTGCTTGCTGAATGTCATACAGATGCTTCTGCCATTTTCAGCATGTTGCCAGAGTCAGTGGCTACAAGCACACCTGTGAGTGAAAGAATGTTGGGTTGTGTTCAAAGTCTTGTTTGTAAACTGTCTGTCCTTGCTTAGTTTCTTACTGTTCTGTATTTTGCCAGGTGGAGCAGGTGGTAAGGGAGTCTGGGGAACACCAGGTCAAGTGTATGATGTGGAAGAAGTAGATGTTAAGGATCCTAATTATGATGATGACCAGGTAGGCAAACAAATTTATTTGCTCAGTGCTTGTTTTGATTTTATATTAATTAAAATTACTGTGATGCTCATATTAATAAATGCTTAATCTCACAAGTTATATGGATGTTTGACTGGCTGTATTAAGTACTCATTTGTTTGTTTGAGAATGGATGATTGACTTAAAGAAGACTAGTATAGAAGCGTTGCAATATTTAGCATGCACAGGTCTTACACCCAAGCCCTCCTTCTGTGCCTGACTAGGCAGCGTGCTTTTCCCAGGTGTGTTCTTCTCTTGCTGGTTTTCATGGAGGTGAATGCTGCAGTGCTGCTCGGAGTTGCAAGCAGGCACTGTGTTAAAGTACGACACAGACTGCAGTTGGGAGTTTAGCTCATGAGGTTATCTGCTAGGGGTTTCTTTCTTCTTTGTATCTCCAACATTGTGGATACAATATCTTGTATCTTCTTGGTGCAAACACTTGAAAGTGGTATGAAGTTGAGGACCCGGATTTTCTGTTTATTTACATATATTTATTTAGGATATGTTGTGGAAGATTCTGCTTTACAGCTATGTAAACACCAACAAAAAGAAAGCCATTTCCTCAATAAATTTTTATCAGATTAAATCTCTGAGATTACAGGCACAGATTATTGATGTCTCTGTGACAGATGCATTTGTGAGACCATAAATAAAGCCCTTGTAACAACAGCAGAGTGATGGTGGTGTTCTTTGAGCTGCAGCTTTTTGTTGTAGCATAGCTGCTGAGATGATGCTCAGTGGGTATCTCAGAATCCCTTCTTCCACCAATTCATTGCAGATTAGCAGACAGCTATTGAAAATGAAGTTGATGATTGCATAAAATAAGTTTGTATGAAAATTGAGAATTGCATTAAACTCCTGCTTAGCTTTTCTAAGATTGTAAACAAAGTGTTATGATAGAAGAGTAGGCTTTTGGATTTCTGTTGTAATTCTTGGTCCTAGAATATTTTCTGTAAATATCAGTTGGATATTTCTTTGAAACTGCAGCAATCTGTAATATTGCTCTGAATGTTCTGTAGTCTGTGAGGAACGGAATCACACTGGGGAGTCCTGGCAGTGCTAGAACTCTTCAGGACCAGTTGCTGCATAAGGTTTTCCTCTTAGGGAATAGTTTGGCTTACAGATGTTCTGGAGGTGCTTTCTCTGTCTGACAGATCTGTACATGCTGTCACCTGTCTGATCATGAAGACCCCCTGAGGAAGGGGGCAGACAGGCAGGCTTGCTGGCAGAAGTGTCAGTTGCAGGGAGTTGCTAAAAGTTTAATCTTGTGGAACTGATAATTCTGTGGGGCTGGGGTAGGAATTTCTGTCACCCTCTCTTGAGTATCAGGGTACTTGATTCTGTGTTCACGTGTTGTCAGAAGAATGCTAGGAGCAGAGTGTGGAGTATTTACTGTCATTTAACAGTGAATTCAGTTAACACTGAACTCAAAATACAAGAAGTATGACATTTAGCCAGCACTGTCCACACTTCAACCATAGGGACATAATCTGATACTTTCTGGTGGAACACTGACTATGAGGACTAAAGCATTAGAGGTATGGATTGTGTTTTGATGCTGTTAGCACTTCATAAAAATCTTTATGTTTTGTTTCCTTTTGAAATAGGAGAATTGTGTCTATGAAACAGTAGTTTTACCTCTGGATGAAAGAGCATTTGAAAAAACCTTAACACCGATCATACAGGAATATTTTGAACATGGAGATACCAATGAGGTTTCGGTACGTCGTGTGCTTTACACTTATTTTAGGGGGCAAACTTACAGTGCACAAGTGAGTCTCGAGTGCTAGCTGTAAATGAGTGTTTGCCAGAAAAGTGCCTTGGAATACCTTAGCAGTTAATTCATGACATAGGTAGAAGCATACGTGTAATTGTGGAAATATTTGTTAACAACGTACATTTCTATCGTGGTGAGATCTTAACCTGTTTTCTTTTACAAATTTTATTTTAGGAGATGCTGAAGGATTTAAACCTCGGTGAAATGAAATACAGTGTGCCAGTGCTGGCTGTTTCCTTGGCACTAGAGGGGAAAGCCAGTCACAGGGAGATGACATCTAAGCTTATCTCTGACCTTTGTGGGACAGTAGTAAGCAAAACTGATGTGGAAAAATCATTTGACAGACTGCTAAAAGATCTACCTGAATTGGTGTTGGATTCTCCCAGGGCACCACAGGTATACTGACAGATTTTTATGGTGGTCATCGAAAGTTTTTCTTTTTAAATTGTGCCTAAAATTAACGAAGCGAAATGAAGTAAGACTGTATTTGGAAAAATAGCTATGGAGAGCCTTCCAGTTTGTAATCCCCATACCCAGGTCCCCAGGCCATGCTTTTACATTGAGGTAAAAAATAATAAAATCTGAAAACCAAGTGTATTGTACTTGTCTGCTTGAAACTGCTTTCAGATTCAACTTTTACTTAAAAGTGCTCCTGTTTTGTTGTAGTTGGTGGGCCAGTTCATTGCTAGAGCTGTTGGAGATGGGATTCTGAGCAGTACTTACATAGATGGCTACAAAGGCACTGTGGATTGCATCCAAGCTCGGTAAGTCTCTTGCGGTCTATAGCTGTGGTTTTCTATTTCAAATGCCTAAGAAAATCAGGAATTTGGGACATGGGGACAAACCATTTGGTTCTCAGAGTTCATTTCTAATTTCAAGCAATCAAAAACGCGCAGTCTGAAATAACAACAAAACCCAGATTTGCTCAGGTCAGCTAAGAAACGCTGGAAGTGCCTTAAAAACACACGGATACGTTTAGGTCAGTTTGTGGGGTTTGTTGTCCCACTTCAGTTTGAATGGGGAGCCTGAGCTGAAACAAGAAGTGGTTATAAAAGGTTTTGTCTTTAGGAAAAGCTTTAATGTGACTAATGAGTTACAGTGTCAGCACAGCTGCTTTAAAGTTGTTGTGAAATGCACAAGGGATGAAGTGTTTTGCCTCATAAAGGTTTCAAATTTGTATATTTTGTAAGTTTGTATATTTGCAGTATATTTTCCTAGAATGTGGCACTTTATTCATCAATAAATGTTTCCAGTTCCAGGCTGAGATGTTTCAAGGAACATCAGAGAGAAGAGACATTGTAATAATTAGCCATGTTTTTTTTATTATTGTTTCTTCTCCCATAAGTGTTTCAGACTTGGATAATGAGGTGCTGAACTCCTAAAACTTACAAAAGTTCCATTTGTTCTGATTAAAGCTGCATACTTCTAGGAAGAAGGCCAGGGCTGAGCCGCCTAATTTGGGGGTTAAAGTTGTGAAAACTGGTAGTCTGTTACACAAGTTTCTCTTGTGGTATGAAGGGTTTTAGCCTGCATGTTGCACATCTGGGATGTTTTGCTGCCACTGCAATTTTTTGGTCAGTCTTTGCTGTGTGTTAAATCTCAGTGAATAGTGGTTTTTTCACTAACACTAATATGAGCACTGGGAGATAACTGGTCCTTTTTTAGCTGGATAGTGCTTAACTGGATCTGCCATTTCTTCTTTTTCTCAACTACTTCAGTTTTTTCATCTCTTCACAACTATGTATTTGCCTTCTGAAGTGCTGTTTGAGCTTGAACTCCAAAGTTTCACAATTTTTTAGATAGCAAATTTATTTCAACACGAAAGTCACTTCTGTTCTGAGATTTACCTGCCAAGCTGCATCCTTGGAGCAGTCCAGCTACAATTCATCTCGAAAAGAAACTGTTCTTTCCTTTGAGAGCACTTCAGGCTCTGCACTGATGATTCAGACCTCCTGCCTTTGCAGGATTCTTCCCTGTCCCGAGTTCAGTATAACCAAGAGTGTAAAGGTGGTGTGGCCTCTTCCCAGTCAGGATCACTTTGACTGAAGAGAAGTGATAGATGTGGTGGGGGGTTGCTGTGGATGTTACAGGTGTCTTCCAATGAAGTTTCCTCACTTCCTAAAACACTGCCTTTACTTTCTAGAGCTGCACTGGACCGAGCTACAGTGTTACTGAGTGTGACAAAGGGTGGAAATCGTATAGACAACGTGTGGGGCTCAGGAGGTGGCCAGCAGTCTGTGAAACACCTTGTTAAAGAGGTAGCTGACTTCTACAAGTCTCTTCCCTCCAGAGTTTACTCTTTAAGCTTATCTAGTTTGGGATGAGCAGAGAAATACACATATTCTGCAGCTAAATGATGTTTGGTGTCATTTTTAAACAAATGTTCTTATTTCAGTTTGTTTCATACACACTAGGTTTTGAAAATCGATGATCATTTTGCTGATAGACGTGGCTATCATTAGAGACCAGTGGTGGAAACATACTGGTTCATATTCTGCATTGCAAGTGCAGCTATTCTTGCTTCAAGCTGAACTTCAAGCACTTACTGTTAGGGTTTATAGTACAAAATGGTGAAGTAATGTTAGATTACAAAAGAAGTTTATTTCTTGGCGCCAGTGACTAAAAGCACAGCAATAACTTGAAAATAAAAGAGGCTGGAAGGATTGTGCAAACTTGATTCATGCTATGAAGTAGGTGGAAGGTTTAAAATAGTCATGATGTAATCTCTCGTGCTGTGAGTGCAGCAGATGATAAAGAGTTCAGGCATTAAGATAAACTGACAGTCATCACTTGCAGCCAAGCTTTTAGTGCTAGCACATCTGTATTATGCTACAGAGAGAGGTATTGGGCTTACACTGCGTTTCAGGTTGCTGTTCATGCCTCAACTTAATTACATTTACTAGAACTCCAGCTGCAGGTTTCAGGAGCTGGCTTGCTACTAGGTTGATCACAGATCACCAAAAGAGTTGGTGAGACAGCTTTTAAATCTTGTACCTAACTAGTGATGGATGTTTTGCTTGTTTTAAAATGCAATAGATTGATATGCTGCTGAAAGAGTACTTGCTTTCTGGAGACCTGCTGGAAGCTGAACGTTGCCTTCAGGAACTGGAAGTACCCCATTTTCACCATGAACTTGTATATGAGGTAAGGAGAAATGAGTCCCTTTAATGACTGCCAGTACCACCAACGGGTTTTGTTTTGATGTGGGTATGCATGCAACTGGAATTTGAAGCTCAGTTGCAAGTTTTGATGTTACTTAAATTATTTCATGTAAAGTTAATGGTTTATATGCTCACTTGTGTGTTGTGCAACAAGCTGCTGGTCCCTCTGGGAAGACCCAGAATTACGTTTTGGTTGTTGGGTTCAGACAGACATCTGACAAATAAGAGCCTAGCTTTCTTTCTGCTGAGGAATACCAGCAAAAGCCCCAGGTTGTATTGGAGTTTATTTCCTTTTAAATACACATTACAACAGATTTCAGACATCTGGGTATACCAACAGGTGTTACCTGTTTTTGTTAAGTTGTAGTTTCCTTTTCAGTGTGGAACTGTTCCATCTAAGTACGTGTAGAAGGCTGAGATAATTCAGAACCACACTATATGAGAAAGAACTCTGCTGTATCTAGTAGCTGAAATGGTTGTTTACCAAGAAAGCCAAACACTCAAAGTTATAAAACTATCTTTTCAATAAATTGACTCCTTATTCTAGGATAGAAAACGGACACCTGTTGTTGATGGGGTTTGTGGAGACTGGTACGTTTTGAACTTAGGAGTTCTTGTTCTAAAACCCTAGATACAAAATTAATTGCCATCAGTGCTGCAGCAGCCATGCAGATGCAGTTATGTACTCCTCACAGTAGGCAGGGCTCTTCACTCTGTCTGGTCCTTTCTCTTTTTTCATACCTTCTATCTTTACACAAATAACCTTCTATCAGGCTTTCCTTTCAAATTGGGACTGCTTGTAGCAACTGGACTTGTCTCCCAGAAAACACACAGTGTTGCATTCACTCTTCTTTGCACGTGGGTATGCTTACACAGCATGTACTGGAACCACTATTTTCTTTTTAGTTAAAACCTCTGCATGGTTTTTTTTTTAAGGCAATTGTGATGGTTTTGGAGTCAACTGGAGAAAAGACCTTTAAAATGATGCTGGATTTGCTGAAATCTCTCTCGAGGTCTTCTGTCATTACTATGGACCAAATGAAAAGAGTAAGTATGGCATTGAAAGAATGCTGGGCAAGATCTTCAAGTAGCTTCTATTTTCTTTTAAACGCTATTTGTAATTTATTGCATCTCTCATTGAGATGTGTGGCCTTCACTCTATCTACAGGGCAAAGCAATTAATCCTTCTTCCTTGTGTTACTAGCAGCTAGGCTATCATATGCAGTCTGCACTGTCTGGATTTCTGTCTTTTTAAGAAGCTGAAATACTCAGCTAGTGTATTCATATAGATACGCTGTTGTGTAACACCAGCTCTTGGAATGGGCTGGTATGACACCTTGTTTTGCCACTAATTTGCAGGTGTTCTGCTTTCAGTTTGTTGAAACTGCTTAAAGAATACATGAGATTGCATTAAAAAGAAGTCCTCTTCTGAGTGCCAAAAGATGTTTAGAAAATTATAATTCTAGAACAACCAAATCATTATTTGCATCCTTAAACTACAGGGCTATGAACGAGTTTACTGTGAAATACCAGACATTAACCTGGATGTGCCACACTCCTATTCTGTGCTTGAGCGGTTTGTAGAGGAATGTTTTCAGGCTGGAATCATCTCCAAACCACTGAGAGACGTCTGTCCTTCAAGGTACTTGTTTTATTACAAAGAGGTGCTGGCGCTCAGTTTGAAAGCAGGATCTTATAACCTGGGTGTGACAGGCTGGTACAGAGACTAGGGAAGGTGGAGGAACAAAAAGAGCAGGGTGGATACGTATCTGAGGGAAGTGAGCCCCTGCTGGAATCCCCGGCAGCGTGCTTATGTGCTGCAGCAGATGGAGGCCTGCCTCTCCTCTCAGTTTTGCTCATTTGTTTGGCAGAGATCAGCGCAGTGGAGCTGGAAGATTCAGGAGTTTTAATGATCCGTGCAGACAAACCTGAAGGGGAAAAAAAAAAAAGTTTTAAAACAGTTTAAAACATTGTAAACTGAACTGAGTTCCAGGATTAGACACCAGTCGTAATGTTTTTGTCAAAAAGCAACAAGGCATTTATGTGGCAAAATCTCTACATCTACATCCCTGATGTAAAAAAAAAAATGACAACCATGAGATGCACGAATATTGTAGTGTTCTCTGTTTCATTATTGTTTTACTGTAGCTAATCAGTGTTCTGTATTTTCAGTCAGAATACAACCTGTAAATTTCATTTCCTATGGGGAATTCGTAAAAGTTTAAATTTGATGCTAAAACTATTCATGATTTCATGCATCAGAAATGCTGTCAGGTATTTTCCAGTCTGTCTGTATCTCAGTATCAACTTGCACGTGGGTTTGGTAGGGCTGAAAGTCATTGCTGTGACAAAAGCTGGATTATACTGCAGCTCTCATCAATATACTGAGGTGTTTTGAGCTTGTATTTCAGTTTGGGGTAGAAAAATATCATTTTTAGGCTTTCAAGCTAGCAGCTTTTAGAAGTGTGAATGTTAATGTTCAACATTAAATGGTTAGGAGAGTAGAAATTTGAACAGCCTAATAACCTTAGATGTAGGATTCAGATGCCTTAGTTTGCTAGTGATCATGACTCATTCTGCTCATCTCCTACACCTCACATTTGGCTCCCAAGACCAAGAGAAGATTCTTCACAATGACAGATGAGCAGAAGTGATGCTGCTGTACACTTGCTGAAAATATACTTTCTACTTTTTTTTTTTACAGGGGCAGGAAGCGTTTTGTGAGTGAAGGAGATGGAGGCCAGCTTAAGCTAGAAAGCTACTGAATGTTGGAACCAACTGCTGAAGACTTAAAAGATGAAAGGGAAAAAAGATAGGTATCTAGATATATATATATATATACAAACACACAGGCCTTTTTGGCACGTGTGCATGTATGTATGTATATGCATATATTATATACCAAATTTCTAAGAGTTGCTTAGCACAGTTCATATTTTTTTAAGAGCACATGTTTTGGGTACAGATCATTTTTTTTAAATAGTTTTATAAATTTCAGAAAGAAAAGTTCTTTCTCCGGGCATCCAATAGACCAACTGGCCACTCTGTTGTGGTGCCTTCAGATAAGCTATCTTTTTGTAAGTGCCATGTTTATGACCTGTCATTCCATGTTTGCATTCACATTTGACTGCCGCTGTTTCTTTCAAGGACAGTGTTTTCATTGTACAATCCCTGATTTATACAGAGCTTTCTAGAAGGGTCAGGTTAAGCCGCTGTGATCCCCTTCGTTGCTGCTGCTGAAATACTGTGCTTTGGGAGGAAAAATAGCTGTTTCTTTGTCTTAAAGAGCCCAAGAAATGAGAGCTGGGTCATTGGACAAGTTCACCTGTTCCACTGGTCGGTTTTAGGTATTCCAGCCAGCACGTACCAAACCGGTCCTTTTTTCTATGTAACTGGAAAAGTGAAAAATACTGGTAAAAACATATTAAAAATATTTTTTGTGAAGCTCTCCTTCCTGCCTTTTCCTTTTAGGCTGTTCCAAACTCTGAAGCACGTGCACTGCGCAGCACTTCTGTCACCAATATTTGTATTACAATAGGTGTTAAGTACAGAATGACGGACAGTCCTGAAGGGGACCCGACCCGCAAGGTGTGAGTCCAACTGCTGGCTCCACACGCGATCACGCCACGTTCAAGCCGTGTTTCTAAGAGCAGCGCCGTGCCGCCGTGCCGGGCCGTGCCCGCTGCCCTGGGGCAGCGCCTCTCTCTACCTGTCCCTGCCCGGCCGCAGCTCTGTGCCGTTCCCCGGGGCTCAGCCGCTGCTCTTGCAGAGCAGCAGAGCTCAGCTGCCCCTCTGCTCCCTGGGAGCAGCTGAAGGCTGAAGTAATTAAACTAACGGTACGAATGTACGGTGCGGAATTAACAAGCCTTTTATCGCAGTGCCCCTGTGCCCTCTCAGTGCTGCACCGTGGCCTCAGGCGGGGACGCAGCTGCGGCTCTGCGGATGGAAAGCCGCCTCCTCGGGCCGCGCGTCCGTTCGCAGTGCAACCGTGCGGGAAGAACGAGACGAAAGGAGGCCCCGGGCCGCTCGGCCGGTACCTGGCACCCCGCCTAAGGCTGCGGCTGGGGGCCCGCAGTGCCTTCGGGCGGCCGCGACGCCTCCATGGCCGCGCGCTGCAGCTGCTGCAACTGCTCCAACTTCTCCAGTGACACCGATTTGAGGGGCAGCACCTTCGGCTTGCACAGCACCATGCCGGCAGCGTCCTCCACCGACAGCTGCCCTGCGAAGAAGACAGAGCAGCGCGTCAGCCGCCTCGCGGCGGTGCCCGTGGCCGCGTCCCGCCCGCCGGCCGTACCTTGTTTGGGCAGCACCTCCCGGAACGCTCCCTTACCCTCCGGCATAGCGCCTTCCGACCACACGCGCATGCGCCGGGCTGCCCGGAAAGCCACAAATCCCGGCATGCGCCGCGCCCGCAAGCAGTGCATGCTGGGGGTTGTAGTCCTTGGGGGGGGGGAAGAGAAAGGCGTCGGCCGAGGGGGAAGCAGCTGGTTCTGCAGCGCGGCGCCGTGCCGGCTGCTGTCGGCACACGCTGGCTCGGCTACGGCCGGCCTGCCTGAGTGCGTACAGCCGGCGTGGCCGCGAGGCGCGGGGACCGCTGCTTTTCATAAAAAGCCAGCGGGTACCGACCGACGGGTGGGCTCTGCCCGGTCTGACGCGTTCCCGAGTTCGTCTCCGGGCAGCGCCTCGGGGTTCGTGGGGTGAATCACGCTGCTGGTTAGAAGGTAAAAGCCTCGAAGGTCGAGGGCATAAATGCAGCCAAACCAGCCCGGCCGGTGCGCCGGGATCCCCCCCGCAGAGCGCGGATTTGCATTTCCGAGCTCCCTCCCGCCGCTCTGCAGCAGCTTGGCGCACAGCCGCCTGCAGCGCGGTGCGGATAGGTTCAGCTCACAGCCCTCGGGACGGGCCTGGCCCGCCCTCCGGAGCTGCCGTACCGCAGCTCTCGCCAGTGAAGTGGCCTGTGTTCCCACACGCACTGTTTGTGTTGGCCGTGGGTTCCTCGAGGGTCTGCAGGTAACAAAGTCTTCACAGTAAGGGCGGTGAGGCAGTGGCACAGGTTGCCCGGAGAGGCCGCGTGTCGCGTCCCTGCAGACAGCCGGGGTCAGGCTGGATGGGGCTCTGAGCACTGATGGAGCTGTAGGTGTCCTTGTTCAGGGCAGGCGGCTGGACCCGATGGCCTTTAAAGCTCCCTTCCAAATCCAGCTTCTTACAATTCTGTGATAATTTCTGTGCTGGCCATGTGCTTCCCTCTGCTGTCTGTTATGAAACCTAAGGCACTCTATGGTCTACGGTAAGACCTGGGATAAACCTTCAACTTCCAGTAAGCAGCATCTCTCTGACAGTTATTTAAAGCCTGTCTGCATTGTTCCAGAACTACTTCCTTTTTCCTCTAAGGCAACCTACAGTAGGAAACTGATGGTCCCTTGTATAATCAATAGATATCAAGATGTTATAATCACAATATAATTGTATAATCAATAGATATCAAGATGTTATAATCACAATATAATCAAGAGAGTTAAGCAAAGTAGACAATGATAACAAAAGAGAATAAGTGGAAGAGCTTACCCTTCAGCTGAGCTCACCACAAAACACCAAGAGAGGTGATCTCCAGAAGAGATCTTTCCCCTCTGGTAGCCAGCTCTTAAATAGGTCTCTGGTCTTAAATAGCCAGGCTCCACCCCTTCCGGCAGCACAGGTGAATTGCCTTCACCTGTGCTCCTCTGGCTGACTCATGGCTCGCCTCAGGTGATCAATCAGAGGTTCAGGCCGTGACTCAGCAGTTCCCATACATCCCTCAGGTAGCCAGCTTTCACTTCTCTTGAAGTCTTGCCTGCTCGTTGCATTTGGGGCCAGCAGAGCAACCTGCAGAGGCTGAAAATGGGTCCCCGACTTCCTGCCTTTTGTGGAGTCGGCCAAAGATAACACTTTTGGTTTGGTTTCAGACAGCCCAGAAGCGGGCCGTTTCTCCTGTGATTCATACGTTCCACTTGCAGGTCAAAAGATTGGCATTGGTGAGACTGTAAAATGGATGTGCTTGCTTTGGACATCCTTCTGTGCCCTTTGAAGTGCACAGAAGTGTTCTCACTGATTTCAGTGGGAAAAGCAGTCTCTCTGGTGTGCTCGCTGATGTGCCAATTGGTATTTCCTACTGATTGGAAGGGAAAGGACGAGGGCCTGGGGTCTGATTTATGAAGACTATGAATGTTTGCAGACCAGGGCGTTTCGCACATCACATACAATTTGCAGATCAGTGACTTGGTAGTTTGTTTTAACTGGTCCATCTAACATCTTAACTCTGGTTAAAAATGAATGGAAAAGACAGCCTGTTATGAAATGAAAATTGTGTGCTGTGAAACCAACAGTTACTCCTGTGGTAATAAATTTGGTCTGCAGAGAAAGAGAAAATGAACTGAAAGCAGAACGTTGAAATCAAATTATGGGATAGGTTTTTTGACGTTGTGGATGACCATGAGGATCGGCATCTGTAGCAACCAGAGCCCATCTCAGTCCTGCAGGGAGTCACTTTGTAAACGCAGTTTTCCTGCCAACGAAGTTTGTTTGCTTGGTGATAAGAAACAATGGTCAACTCGATGTGCTACTTAAGCATTTTAGTGCTTGAGAAGAGGAATCTAGATTTGTGCTAAACCTATTTTCTTAGTCAAATGCCCGCTTGGCAGCCTATCTGGAAAGCTGGTAGCACTGTGGCAGAGTGATTATGAGGATTGTTTTCAGCAGTCTCTGGTAAGTCTGCTTTTAAGAAAGTTCTTTCGTTAAGGAAAACGCAGGTCTTATCTTCGGGATTGGAAAGACTGCATGAGAAAAAGGCACGGGCATTGCTGGGTGCTCAGGGTCATACTTTTCAAGGTGCCTGAAAAGCAGTGATGGTTTTGGCTTTGAGAAAGACTACTGTTCATCCACTAGAGTGATATTAGCTGCAATTAACTGATATTCCAGTTACATATGAAGGACTCCATTTTTGTTCTGCTAAGGAAAGCATAGTTATATTGGTTTAAGTTTGTTTATTCCACTTCCTACATCTGGGGGTTGTTGTACTCTAATACACACTCTTTTTCTTATGGTAGCAAGACATGTGCTTGCAGTGGGATGGCACGATCGGTGTGTGACCTCGCCCAGGCCTGAAGTTGTGCCCTCACTGTGTGCTGTGCCTTGGGGTGAAGCCAGATGGTGTCTGACACTGGGTGAGCAGACTTCCACAGACAACGCACTCTAGGTTCCATCCTTTTTTACTGGTGTTGCAAACAAGTTATTCCTGTACTCTGCAGAAAGCCTCACGACCACAAAACCAGCAATAATTGTACAAATGATAAGCTTGTCTTCCTCCTCCTTTATCCAGATATTCTGAGTGCGACAGACAGCAGAGATGTGCATTGCTGGAATCCAGAGAGTTTCATAATGTGGCAGTCGCTTGCTGCGTATGCCACTGCATAAATAAGACAACATTTATTTTAAGTACTGAGAAACATTCTAAGTAGAAGAAAAAAGTGTTCAGGTGAAGCCAGTCCCATTTGTTTACAAGTCTTGGTTTTGTTCTTCATACATATTAAATGCTTTTCATTTGCATTCTGATTTTTTGAACCTTTCAAGTTCATGCTTTCCTTCTTTTTTTTCTTTCTTTTTTTTTTTCTTTTCGTGCAACAAGAAAGTCTGGATTGAGACCTTACTTTAAAAAGGAAAATCTGGCTGAACGTCCTGTATAACCATGCAACCCCAGACAAAGGGTGTTTAAAAAATACACTTTGAGAAAATCGCTCATCTTGAGAGCAGTTTTCAGCTCTGAGTTTAAGTAATTTAAGTAAATACTTCGTTGACAGTTTAAGAAGCTTTTAACAACACCTATCTCTGTTTGCTTTTCAGGGAGGTCTCTCTTCTACTCTTCTGAACATTTAGAGCTTGTTTCACCTCTGTATGTGCTGATGAAGTCAGAAATGTGGTGTACCAGCATGACTAACGTGTGTTGAATAATGCATACAGATGCTTTCAGAAATGCATGCACAGATTTCATGCAGTTGTTCCCTTAAGCTGCTGAGCAGTAGGGGGGGTGCAGAGCCGTCCTCAGGGCAGCAGGAGGAGGTGGGTTGGCATCCAGGGAGGAGCAGAAAACCTCTGTGATTCCCTGAGGAAATCATAAATGCCTTCAAGGCCTTAAGCTTCGTAGCCTGGTGTTTAACCCTGTGCTTGTTGTTGGAATGCTGTTAACATATAAGTGATTTCTTATAGTTCAGGCTGCTGAATATACTCGTTTTAAATTCATTGTTGTTTGTTGCAGTGCTGTTCTCAAGCTGTACACATCAAGACAAGGAGGAGACATCCTTCCTCAGCTCAAAGATTCTGTCTCTCCCTGCTATGGATGCAAGTACGAGCGCCTGGCCATACGTTCCCCAGGGTGCAGACAGCTTTCTGACCAGCTGCTCTCCCTGTTCTATCCCTAGCAGTAACATCCAGGGAAAGCAGAGGCCGACTGCTGTCCTGTGGCTGTGTAAGAGCCCCGTTCTGGGCTCGCAGGCTAGGTGCTCCAGCATGGCGTTTCTAGGAGGTTGCTGCTCCACTTGTGTGGTTTCAATCGCTTAAGTCTTTGGCCTTGTGCCTTGAAGTGCCAGCAGAGACATGCTCTAATTGCCCGTAAACGCACCTTCTGTCATATCATTGTTTAATTATTCCAGCTTCTCACTGCCACGCACTGCTTACTGTCTCTCCTGCTATCTTTATTTAATTGAGTGGAAAAAGTCTGAGACTTGTGCTTCACTCACGTCGCTTTGTATTTATCCAGCATCACTGGATCCTGCTTTGAAGTGCCGGCTTTTGTATGCAGAAGTCAGTCTTCTATACAGAAAAAATAATGTCTATGTCAAAAGCGTATGTTAGAAATAGAATCAATATTTTAACATATGGTAAACTCTGGCCATAAAGCTCTTAACACAGTCAAATGATTGTATTATTATCCTTTGAAACTTGGCTCTGCCCCTGAGAAACAAGGAAGGGAAAGAAAACTCGAATAACCAAGCCCTTGTCCTCACAGTGCAGGACTGTTCTCAGTCTGTCGCTTTGTCTGTGCCACTTCTTCCTTTTCTGTCTCCCAGCTCTGTTTTCTTCCACACTGAATGCATTCAGCTCCAGGAGCCTTCTTTCCTCAGCCCATCCCTATGGATCTGTTTTAGGGCAGTACCAGATGTCAGTTCAGTCCCAAGATTCACCCTACAACATCCCCATGGGAGTTCCACCACCGTTTCAGACAGCTCTAATGCTTCTATACCAAGCCTTGCAACTAACCAAATATTAATATGTAGAAAAAAATAATCTGAGATCTCTCCAATGCTCCCCTTGTCTGTATGGCCTGTAAAAGACGTGGCAGCTTGTTGGCTGCTTTTCTTTCCTCCCCTTCCCTGTGTCAGTGACAAATGCACATTGTTTTTCTGGTCTTCAGTTCAGCTTTCAGTCTCTGAGCCAGAAAAACGCTTTGTGCAGCACCTAGCACACCAGATCAGTATCAAGGCAGCTGTGTGCTCCTACACCAACACGAAATACTAGGGTTGCTGGCACTCACTCTGGCCTAGTTTGCCTCTCTCCTGGCAGGAGTTTGATGACGTCCTCCTGGAAGATCACTGTCCATCTGAACAGATCTAGCTTTCAGGATCCTATTTTATTTCTTCATAAATTGTCAACTGAGATTTTCATTTGCAGGTGTGCTCCTTATAGTGTTCGGCTCCTTGACTGAGCCAGCATCATTTTTGGGGTTGTACTTTCCGGCTTCCCATAACTGTAAGATTATTCATTTCATACTATTTTCTGATTTGTTTTATTTTTCATCCGTCTCTTTCCTGCTGGAAAGAGCAATTTATATAATGATTTCACTGTGGAATTGACTTCAAGCTTTACTGCTATTTGTCACCGTTCAGGAAATCCATCCCTGGCTCCAGAAGAACACTCGGTCCCTGCTGACAGTCTGAAAGAGGGAGAGAAAATAGATAGCAGAGCTGCAGCTATTAAGACCAACAGGCACATATTTTATTCCAACTCAGTTTTCCATTCCCAAATGCCTTTTGAAGAAAATCTTTTTTGTTTGAGAGAACATGAAGGAAGGTTGTGGGTACTGGTGAGTTTTTTTGGGGGGATGGAGGGTTGTTTTGGTGGTGATGGTTTGTTGTCGATGTTGTTTCATAGGGACTGTCCTGTTCTTGCTCATCTCCATCTTCTTCCACTTTTCAGGCAGCAGGCTCACAACAGTGACAGGATGTCATCTAAGGAAAGCTGCTGCTGCTTCTGGCCTTGGTTAACCTGTTGGTGATGGTGCTTGCCTGGGCATGGGGCAACTGGCTTTTCACACAGCTCAGCATGGACGTGTTGCCACTCCCAGTAACTTTTAGGACACAGTCAAGTTGTTTTTCCTGAGATTGCTGTACCCATTAATCTTAAGAAAAACATGTAATAAAACTGTTCTGCCTTCCTGGGGCCACCACTCCCAGAGACCTTTCCCCCTTTTGGCTTCTGCAGTAGCTTTTTTCCTTTGGCTTTGCAGCTTTATCAGCTAGAAATGATAAACTACAGAATTGGTTGGCTTCAGGCTCTCTTTTTTGCAGGATAGGCTATGCTTGTGCCTATTGAGGAATGGAAGATCATAAAGGACGAGGGGGAGGTGGAAGGCTGCTCCCTCTTGTACACAGTGCAGGGGCAGGATACAGCCTTTTATGAAGTTCAGCAAAGAAAAACTTGGGCTGCACACCGTGCCATACCAGTCAGCCTGGTACTAATGTTCCTGGACCTTTGAAGGCAAGAAACGACATGCAGTGTGAATGAAATCTAAGCCTTGCTGCACCAGAGCACTGGTGCCAGCCAACTTTAGAAGTCTGATGTGAGAGTCAGGTGGAGCAGGTAGCATGGCAGGAGATGCCATGTATCACCTGCAGGCATGTAGATCTGCAGTGCTGCTACAGCATCCAAGTCCAACCGCAATGTGTGGCATGCAAGAAGCTGGTGAACCCATGGCCACATTTGACTTGAATGCACTTTCCTTGGGAGGAAGTGGCTTTTCCCTTGAAAAGCTCAATTCCCCAGGGTCCCTGGGGAGGTCAGGGGAAAAGTGATTTCATCAGAATATGTTCAGAATGCCTTGACAAACTCTTATCATCTTGACTATGGAGTCAAACTTAGGCAAACTTAACCTCTGTAGTTTTAAAGCCACTTTTGTGAGTACCAAACTCCTCCTCCTCCTTGCTTTGAGAGTTATGCTGTCCCTGGTAGGCACATTGCTTACTGTGGTTGAGGTGCTGCAGACCCAAGCCGAGAGAAGCTTGTCTACCAGTGCACAGCGTGTCCTTTTGCATCCTGCTCCATCCTTTTGGCTTATCCTGGAATAGGTTAGCAGGTACCAGAGAAATGAAATGAGTCAGGAAATGTTGGTTTCTTTCTGGATAGCCTGACTGGGCTGAAATAATCAGCATCTGTTTCAGTTTAAATGAGTTTTCATTCCAGCCTTATTCCCTTTTCAAAGTACAGAAAACTGAAGCCTTTAATTTGCCCTGTCTTTTACTGTAGAGAAAATTAGAAGTTTCTGTCAGCTGATACTATCCCACCTAGAAAATCTATGCTAAAATAAAATACAATGTATTGTCTATTATGAATGAAAAAGCTCTTGCTGGTTTCTCTCATTTGTAGTGTTAACTTTGAAAGATAAATTGTTTGAACTGGTTGGCTCTCCGATTGTGTAACTGAAGATCAGCTTGCTTGGTAGCCTGATGGATCTGCAGTTTCCCCTTGCACTAAATAAGCTGCAGAACTGCCAGCCCTGGGGCAGTTAGGACACAGCACATACTTGAAAAAAATTGTCACTTTTACTAGTAAATCAGAGAAAATAATCTCATGCATGACATCCTGGATGCTACAGGATTGATCCATTTGGAGCACCTCCTGTAGGACCTAGAATGTGTGTCTGAAACTCACAAACATACGTAACTGCTAATGAGTTTAAAGTTGAAGATGGCAGGCCCAGAACTGTTTTTACGTGGAAGTTTTGCAACCCTAAACCATGAAGCTTGGTTTTGAGGACACAGGCATGTGGAACAAACTTCATCCTTTTTTTTCCTATGTGTTTGCTTTGTAGAACCAACAACAAGAAGAAGTAGAAAGAATTCCTTGTCTCTCAATTGAGCAGACCTGACTGAGCACAGAGAAGGAACAGGGTAAAAAATAGTAACATCTTGCTGCACTGTAGTCCCTCAGCAGAGAACCACATTTTGAGGTTCCCCTTCTTTGTGTCTTTTGTATTGCAACAGAAGCTTTCGCTCTGGTGGCAGTCTTTCTCTTCAGTGTGGTGGATCTTGTTGGCCATTCTGTCCCAGTGCTGGTTCCTAGGAATTGCCAGTGGTTCTGGATGTGGATGTGCATTCCCCCAGGTACATTTTCTGTGCCTCATATTCTCCCTCTTTCCCCATTTAGGCTGTGCCAGCTCTTCCAGCCTCCCCACTTCCTGCATACCTGTGACCATGGCTGTACAGCCAGGATTACATCTAAGGTGAAGACAGAAAAACCATGATGAAGGCTTATGCTATTTTCATGATGGATATGATGCTCATAAAAATGAAAAGGTGATTGTCGTGCCATCAGCCTTCAAAGCTTTCTTCTTTCCCACAGAACAAATGAACATGCTGCAATCCTTAGCTGAGAGACTGAGGCCAAGTTTGTCATAAACTGACAATTCAGGAAAAGGAGAAAGAATAGAATAGGGTGGGAAGGTCAGGGCAGAGTGGGGTGTAGATGAAAGAATGGTAGAAACTTAAACTGAGAATTTGGAGGTTTGAGATGAGATGGAGGGAGGCTGAGATTCACAAAGAAAGCGTAATCAGGAATTAGAGGAGTTTTATGCTGAGACCATCTGTGCAAGGAACCAGTAGCAGGGGAGGGACAGCAGTCAGCAGAATTGTTTGTCAGTGCAGAGAAAGTCACAGGGGATAGGAAGTTAGAAGAAGAACTGGACAAAGGAGACTGAATGAAGAGTTGGCATAGGGAACTGGAGCTGGAAGCACTGTTGGATGCTAAGAAAGGAGAGGCAGGTGGTGGACATCTGAAGGTGTCAGCTGGGCACAGGCAGAGGGGAAGGGAGAGGAGTACTGGGGAGAGCTGCGGGCTGGGCAGCAGGAAAGGCTGTGGGATGGGGGGATGTGCTGCTGGGCCATCTCTGCTCTCCAGGCTGGCAGCCAAGCAGGGCTTACCCGAGGCTGGCCTTCACTGTGGCTCAGCCAGCAAAGAATTTGCCTCTTGTTGGTCTGCCCCAGACAGCGAGAATTTAGTGCCCTGGGATGAGGCGGCAGCAGCTGCCTGCTGGGGGAGCAGAGGGCTTGCTTGTAGTTAGATAAAAAATAAAATTACAGTTGGGAGGAAGAAGTGAAAAGGCCACATGAACAAGAGAGAAAAGGTCAATTCATCAATCCGGCAGCCACTAAATTAAGAAAAGGCAGGTGGGGGCTATAATATCCGAGGTATCTGAATTCAGTCAAAGATGATTCTAAAGTTGCTGGATTGATCTTGTGGTCAGCTTAAGCAAGCTTAACAAATTAATTACAGTATTTTAGTTCATTGTGTAAGAGCTAGCTAATAAATCACGGTGCTTTGTAGAAACTTGCTTGAGACAACTGTGTAAATACTAAATAGCCTTAGGAATGGTCTTATGAATCCACGGAATAATCCAAATTCCAGCACTCCTCCCCCTCCACTGCTGGTCTAGATACAGGATAACAGTCACTGCTGTCATCTGCTCCTTTTTGAAGCAGGGGGGGCAGAGGTCTGTGTCAGACATGAGAAGGTACCAGCAGTGCTGGGGACCCAGGGAAGTGCTGTGATGCTGTGTGATCTGCACCACAACAGTCCTTTTAGGAACATGGGGAATGCTACATGTTTTAAAGGAACATTACTATGGTTGCAAAGTCAGGCATTTAAAAGTTAGGCAATGCTCAAATGAAATGCCTCTGAAACCTTAATTCAGTCTGTGTACACATGCAGTTATGAAATGCTTGTTAATTATATTTGCCCTGCTGTTCATTTCAGCATGAATGGCAGTAATTCAAGAGCCTCTCCCAGTTCTATAGGTTTTCCTATACAAATGGAGGCTGAGCAGCCTTTGACTTGCTGTACAGAGAGGTACTCAGAGGTAAATACTATGAGATTCAAAATATGGGCCAGCTGGTGTGATCTAATGCTAAGGGACAAATACTGCTTAGGATGCTGATCTCCCTTACTCGTCTTTTCTCCTGGCTCAGGTCTGTATCAGTGAAGATTTGGGAAGAAATGGTGCTGCTAGGGGCTGAAATTGAGCCAGAGCTCAGCTACCCGACATCCAGTGGGTGGATATAAAATTAACTACTCAATTTGTGCAGATTAAAAACAAATCTTGCATGTACGAACTCTGCCTTTGCAGAAGTGTCTGTTAGTTTTGATTGTTGGCACAAGCATTACTGTAGTATCGGTCTAATCTCATAGTACATATTTAAGGGATTGCAGCAGAAGGGTGGAGCTAACAGTGTACATTTGCTGGCTGATTCCCTGCTGGCTGACCGTTGTCCTGCCACGCTTCATTTCAGATTTTCAGTTTTACGTTTCACCTGTTTTCGGCCCTGTGCCCCATGATACAGAAGAGCCAATCCTGCTTCTAACACTGCCCAGCATTTATTAATAAAAGAGCGTGCAAGCATATTGAACTGACAAGCGAGCCGAGGGGAGCGGGCAGACCGCAGGTAAGCCGGGTGCACAGCCCTGCTGAGCCCGGGCAGGCCGGGCCCGTGTGCTGCGGACACGGCGCCGGCGGGAGCTCTGCTGCTCTGGTCCCGCAGGGAGAACACGGCAGGAGCTCCCCGGGACGCCAAGCGTCCTCGAGAACGGGAACGCTCCGTGAGGCACCGGGCCGCCAAGGGGCGCGGTTCAAGGAGTCACCGCCCGGCCGCGCCCCGGACGGCCGCCAGCGCCTCAGCGTCGCCAGGGGCGACGGGGCCACTTCCGCCCGCGGCCAAGATGGCGGCTGCGTCGCGACCCGGAAGTAGATGGCCGCCCCGTGCCTCGGCGGGCCCGCCTCCACGGTGCCGCGGGAGGGCCGTGGGCGGGGAGTCCCGTGACGGCTCGGTGCGCACAGACGGTGGCCGGCAGGGGCGGCCGGGGAGGGGGGGGCCGAGTGAGCGAGCGAGCCAGCCAGCAGCAGGAGGATGGCGGAGCCGCACGGTAGGCGGGCGGCGGGGCCGGGGCTCTCGCGGCGGGGCCGCGGGGCTGCGCCGAGGCGGTGGCGGCTGACAGCGGGCGGGGCGGGCCTGGCGGCGGGAGGCCGCGGGCACAAAGGCGGGGAGGGAGGGCCGGGCGGCGGGTACCGCGCCGGGCGGGGGTGGGGGCGGGCAACCTGGGGGTGCTGGGCAGGGGGTGCTGAGCCGCACCGTGCCGCCGAGTGGTGGCATCGCCCCAAAGGCGGCATAGAAAGAAGAAAGAAACGAGGAAGCCGAGCTCCACAGCCTCACCTCTGCTCCCGCCCGGTACCGGGGGCTGCGGGCTGGGAGGAACTCGGGGCGTCGGGCCGGGTGCCGCCCCAGGACGGGTGCGGGGTTCTCCTCGTGCTTCACGCGCTCGGCTGTTGCTCGTGGCGGCTCCGGCCGGCCGGCGTCCCTCTGAAATCTTCGCCCTCCCGTCTGGCCGGGCGGCGCGCACAGCGTACCACGTACGGCTGGCACCGAGGGCGCGCCGACGGCTTTTCGCGGCGTTCGGAGCGCGTTTTCGCCCGGCGGTTCTGTGCGAAGCGGACGCGGAACTGCGGGAGCCCCGGGGAAGGCGGAGGGCCGTGTCAGCGCCCGGCGGTGCGCAGATCCGCTGGGCTGAAGTTCCGCGAAGTGCTGCTGATGGAGCAGTAGGTGTGGGAATGAAACGAAAATCGCAGCGTGTGACAAAGCCGTTACCGACTGCTGGAGTGTCAGTAGTGATTTTTGATGGATGTGTTTGGGATGGGGCTGTGGAATCTCTACGTGCTGTGCAGCGTGCACATGTGCGTACACAAAGGCACTTCTGAGGCAGAGCGTTGTTGATAAGGAGTTGTGATTATGTGTGGTGTCATTGCTGCGGCACTCAGTCTTCGTTTTTGGACTGTTGCCTTTAATAATTAGAATCAGGCTCTCGGTTTTCTCCTGTCTGCTTGTTTTCACGTTTGACTTTCTACTTATTGTTTTCCTTTTTGCCTTCTGAACTGTTTTCTTTTAAATCACTAAGCATTATTGGGTGCTTCTATTTATAAAATTGAGGGCTTAAAGTAGGAAGTGTTCAAATTAAGTAACGCTTATTTACAGCCATATCTCAGACATATGTTGTATGGTGATCTCGATATAATCCTAGGCTGGTTTTGGGGAAGATTTGCTGTATCCTATGAATTTATTAATATGCTGTTGTGCATACATTCTTAGTAGCACCCTTATCCTCTTGGTTCCTTTTGAATGATTTGAGCTTGACTATTTTGGTTTTCTGTGCGATTATTCTTTGTTCTGGGTAAGGAGGGTGGAAGGCTATTTTCGTAAGGTGAGGCTGGATACCTTTTAATTTTAGGCTAATATTTGCCGGCCATCAGCACTTGTGTACGTGTGGCAAGGCAAAACGTGTACATCAGGCAGAACTAATTTGTTATCTAACCTTGTAGCACAGCATGATGCTTCCAGACAAAGCTCTCCTTGTACCCGCAGCCTTTGAGGAACACATCCCCAGTGAGGATGCTGCCTTCTGCCGTGTCCCTCTTCTGCTCTTTCTGGAAACACAGAGCAATCCTGGGGCGATGTAGGCAGAGTCAGCTGGGAGCTTTCCTTCCCCGTGTGCCACGTCTGTGGTGGGAGATGCAGGAGGGGACGTTCTTTGTTGTGTGACACTGAGATCGCCCTGACGGTGCGTTCTGCTCAAGGAATTGTGCGTGGCACGGGGGATTCCTTCAGCCTATGGATGTTTTCTCTTTACGTGCTCTTAGCTCGCAAACAGAAATGATTTTCTCAGAAGATTCCTGTGTGTGTTCCTTTTAGGAAAGCCTTGGATTCATTGTTTCTTGGCTGTGGCTTTCTAGAAATGTGTGTTTCTGCATGGTGATCGTTGCTTGTCGCCGTGGCCGGCTGCTCCCAGTGCCGTGTAATGCCAGTGAAATAGGTGGATGCATGTGCTTGGATGCATATGTAATGCTCGTGCATGTTAATTGTGTAAAAGTATCCTCTGTTTGTTCTGCTGCGAGGGATCGGAGTGATCTGTGCTTGACAAGGCTGAGGAAGCTGTGCAAATAACTGCACTCCCTTTTGGGAGGATTTTGCTGGGTGATAAGGAGATGAAACTGAACGAAACGATTTCACATGTTTCCATCGCATGGCTGTACGGAATTTGGGTAGGTGCTAAACACGAGCCACTTTTTTCTGAATGTCTGAAGAGGAAAACTCCTATATTGCAGTGTGGATGGAGGACAGGAGCTGCCTCGCCCCGCTCTGCCCTGCAGCTCACCCTCAGCTCAGGCACTGTGCTCTGCTCCTGGGCCCAGCTCTGCCTCCAGCACTCAGGGATCACTGTGAGCTCCCCAGTGGGCTTCGGGTGGGCTGAAGTTCCACCAGTGAGGGCTGGTGCTCAGGCAGCCCCCAGCCCATGGCTAGCCCCACTGCTCAGCTTTCCCTTCCACTCACAGTGCTCTGAGGCTCATTCCTTCCTTTTTATTGTGCACACACACACACACATATATATATTTATGGCAGAGCTTTTTGGATACTCTTTTATTGGAATTGCTTCGTGCTCCCCTCTGTTGCTGTAATATCTTGTGTTTATTTGTATTGAATGCAGCTCTGCATATTGGCAGAGATATTTCTGCCTTTTTTTTTTTTTTTCCTGGTGGGTTTGTTTGTGTGAGAGAGGGCTGGGGAGGACACAGCAGTGAAGATTAAGCAGCCAGTTGTAGCTAGATTGTGGAGATAAGAAGAGCTCTTGTTTACACTAAAATCCCACTGCTGACATATTTTAGTTTGCTTGATACAGTAGTTCTGGTATGTTACAAAACCCACCCAGATAAAACGTATAGCAAGAAGGTAATGTTTGCAGTATTAGCCATTGACCTTAATTTGCTTGGCTTTTGTTTTTACTGCATTGCTTGGGCTTGACTGTATTGTGAAATGCAAATAGTGTGCTATTAAATCTGAGCGTTGCCTGACACAAAGTTTTGTTCAGTAAAGGCAGTTTGGGTGCAGTGAAACAACGATCCCCTGGTGAAAAGGGGACTTTAATTACTACAAATTTTTCTATCCTTAACCTCTAGGTAATGGATATGCTATGTAATTGTGCAGTGTTGATTTGTTTTTAAATAGTTGAGTAGCACGTGGTTGATGTTGGCATGTTTTAGGCTCTGTGCAGCTGAAGCCCTGGGTCTGTGTTGCTGTACAGGAGAAATACGGAGTGTGACAGAGCTGATGGTGGCCATGCTGATAGTGGTATGGTGAGGGGATGCAGGTTGGTGCAGGCACACGCTGCTGTGAGTGGCCAGAGAACTTCTTAAACCAACCTGACACGTGTTTGTACTTGGTTCTGTTAGTGTTGCTTTGCTGTTGAGGTGGACGTATGAAATAAACCAAGAGGACTTGAGGGACTTGAGCATAACGGTTTGCTTTTTGGCTTCCTTCTGAAAGGATGTCTGTGTCTGAGTGGATGTACACGAGAGCCTGATTCCCTTATTGTTACACAAATGATTGTGTAGGAAAGCACGCAGCTGTGGCCTGTGTGTGTGTGTGTGCTCGCAGATAGCTGTGCTCCTGCTTACCTTCCCGTGCTCAACTTCCACGTGCCCTCCTGCATTACCAGGTTGTGTGTAGGAGCGAGACGCCGAAGGGCTGCAGAAGGCACCATTTCCACGGAGCCCGGCGATGCCGTAGATGCTGTATCCGGACCTGCCTCCCCCGTGGTCGGAGGCTTTGTGTTAGGCATGCATCCTAATTGTTCTTCTGTTGGCGTTGTGCTGCGCTGAAGGGCTGGGCACCAATGCAAATGGCCTTTCTAATACCTTCCGTATTTGCATTATAATGGCTGCGTAAATACTGCAGCACGTCTCGGTTCGCTCTCTGCTTTGACTGCTGGAGTTTAAAGCAGGCTCCTTCTGGAGCCTGGATCCTGTTCGTGGCTGGGATTGTTTTGCAGAGAGGTTCTGAAGCGCATCTTTCCCAAATGCCGAAATGCGTTCGCGATGCGATGCGGTTTTCACTTGCTGGTGTTCTGGTCTCCCACTCCTGCAGCCCGCAGGCTGGGACAGGCACTGGGAGCCAAAAACCCACCGCCATCAAAGCGTAACCTCGAGCAGTTGGGCCATTTTTCACCAACT